ATTCCTGAATGAAATTTATCTTACCATTTTAGTGCCTGTTACTGAAAGCGTGGTCCTTGTCCCCAAAGCCAATCCAATAAGGAGGACATGGTTTTGAGAGAAAGGAAAAAGTTTTTGTTACTTTTCTAGCAAAGGAGAATCACAGGAGACTCCTGTCCCTGAGGCTGTGTTTCTGCCCAGGAAGGGGAACAGGGGACTTTTAAAGAGGGGATTCAGAAGAATCCTGTTTTTCAAGAATAGGAAGAGGAGACAAAGAAGGAGAAAACCAAGAAGATCGGGGAGGAGAGGGTCATGGAGGAGAAGGTCAGAAAGGAGAAGATCAGGAAGGAGAAGGTCAGTGGGGAGAAGGTCAAGAAAGAGGAAAAAAACAGTTTTAGAGCAGTAGGGACATATTCGAAGCATAAAGTAGACCATGGTTACATAACCAACCGTTTACCTTTGACAGATTTGAGTGTGTGTGTGTGTGTGTGTGTGCTCACACGCACGTGCGTGCGTGCATACAAGCCAATTCAGAACAGTTTCTGGTAGTCGTGCCTCACCAGGGCAGCTCTATGTCTCACTTCCAATCACACCACTGGCCTGTCTTCTTCAATCTCGGCTCCACTGCATACATCCTCACCCAATTCTCTGACTAGTTCCTGCTGGTAGGTAAACTGGATATTTCTGAGTTGACATTAGTACCTCTCTTCCCTCCATGGCTTCAGATTCTATCTGTTCCTTTCTGGAATCTCCCTTCTTTTGCATTTTGATGCAACTGGCCTAGGCCAGGATACATCAGCTTTTGCCCAAAGGAATATAATTACCTTTTACTAATCTTCCTACCTCCAGGCTGCAAATAGCTCCAAAGTATTCCTAAAACACTGAGCTGCTCAGTTCACTTTTCTTGACATTTCACTCAAACCCAGGGCCTTTCACCTGCTAGGCAAGCACTACCACTGAGCCACATTCCTAGCCATGTTGCTGAAAGCTCTGTCCCTTGTTCCTGATGCCAATTCAATAACGAGGACAAGGTTTTGACAAAAAGGAAAAAGAAGGTTTTTTGCTTTGCTAGCAAAGGAGAAACACAGGAGACTCCTGTCCCAAAGGCTGTGATTCTGACCATCATCAGGAACAGGGGAATTTTAAAGAAGTGACTCAAAGGCTACATTCCACATCTTTTCCTTCTAAAGTTGTAATTCACTTGTTAATTTGGGAGATAGTCATTTCTAAGATCTTCTGGTACCATCCCCAAAATCTGGATTACTTCCTTCCTATGGTGTTTTTGGTGGGTATAGGGACAGATAACTCAGCCTAGGATGGGGAAGAAAGGTAATCCTGTTTCCCTGAGATTAGGGATGGGGAGAGATTAGAAAAAGAAACATGTCCATTTAAAAAATAAGTTGCAGTGGCAGAGCAGCAAGGGCTATATTCAAAGCATAAAGTGGACCACTGTTATAGGCAGAGTCTAATTTTTTTTTTTTTTGGTCCTGGGGATTGAAGCTTTACTGCTGAGTTACATCCCCAGCCCTTTTTATTTTTTTTCTTTTAAGGCAGGGTTTTGCTAAATTGCTTAAGGCTTCACACTTGCAATCCTCTTGCCTTCCAAATCGCTGGGATTACAGGAGTGCACTACTTCGCTAACCTAAATATTTTAACAGGCATCTGGGGACCCAGCAAGGTCTCACCTTAACCCAAACACCTTATCTCTTAAGGACCCTATGATCATATGTTGATCACTATTCCTTAAACTCATGTGCGTTTTCATACTTCCATGGCTTTGCTCACAGTCTCTTATTCTGGAATAAATGGATCCCTCCCTCCCATTTCTGTCAGTGATCAAAATTTTAATGGTTGTCAATTTTAATTAAATTGCCTAATTTCAATACCACCTCTTTCATAGAAATGTCCCCAGTTGTTTGACTTTGAATTGTTTCCTTCCTTTTATTTTCACTGCTTATTGTTTTAAAAATACATGGTTCATAATAGGTATAATTTATATACAATTAAAATTACTCCTGTACTTGAGTTTTTGGTTTTGAGGTACTGGGGATTGAACCCAGGGGCGCTCTACCACTGAACTACATCCCCTGTCTTTTAAATTTTTTGAGACAAGGTTTCACTAAGTTTCCCAGGTTGGTCTTGTGACCTTCCTACCTTAGCTTTCAAGTTGCTGAGAGAACAGGCTGTGTTCCACTGTGCTTTGCAGGACTGTAAGTTTTGACAAGCACATACAATTGAGTAATTATCACCACAATGAAGGTGTGTAATATTTCCATTAAATCAAAGAGTTCCTGTGCAACTTTTTGAAGCAATTCTCTCTTCCTTTTCCTAGTTCCTGGAAATCACTGATCTGATTTCTGTCCCTATACAGTTTATATTATTTTAACCTATTTTTGTATTATGCTCTTATAGATTTTGCCTGTGTTCTTTCTCTCTGGATGGTAATCTTGAAGACAGCTGTAATCATCTATCTTTGTATTGCTCAAAGATATTCAAACTTGGGCTGGGGATGTGGCTCAAGCGGTAGCGCGCTCGCCTGCCATGCGTGCGGCCTGGGTTCGATCCTCAGCACCACATACAAATAAAGATGTTGTGTCTGCCGAAAATTAAAAAAATAAATATTAAAAAAAAGGATCTTTAAAAAAAAAAGATATTCAAACTGAAGTTCCAAATACATTTATCATGTGTCAAGTCATAAATACATGATGAAAGAAAGAGAGGAAAAGAAGGAAAAAAAGAAAAAGAAAGCCAACAAATGTTCAAATGTCTGAATGGCCCCAGGAAAAGGTCCTAGAAGAGTTTTGTTGCTGTTGTTGTCATTTTGTGGTGATTGAATTCAGGGCCTTGATTTTGCTAAGCAAGTGTTCTACCACCAAGCATACAATCCCAGCCCCCAGAAAGGTTCTGGTTCAACAGTGGGGTGGCCAGCAGAGCTCATGTTAGTTTAATAAATTATTCTTGGTATGAATCTGAACTATAAAAATGTAGTTGTTCCTAAACACCTAAACATGAAATATATTAAAGTCTGAATAAGCAAAACTTGTTAAAAATATGAGTTTAAGATACTTTGCTAGGGAGAGATGCACATTTGTAATTGAAGCTATTTAGGAGGCTGGGGCAGGAGTGCCACAAATTCGAGGACAGCCTCAGCAATTTACCACCATTTTGCCTCAAAATAAAAAATAAAAAGGACTGGGGATGTACCTCAGTGGTAGAGAGCCCTCCCTTCAGTTCCCAGTAGGAGGGGAAAAAGGTCATCATGATGTAAAAGAACTGTTGTGTACTGTTTGATGTGGTTTTCAACTAAGGCATATGGAGGACTTGAAGGTAAGGGTATAGCTGGTATATTAGTAGAAATGAAAAGCCATATTTTCCCCATATTTTGGTGTCATAGAAAACAATTTATTTTGGTACTAGGGATTAAACCCAGGGGCTCTCTATTGCTGAACTACAACACCAGTTCTTTTTGAGACAGGGTCTTGCTAAATTGCTGAGGCTAGCCCTCAAACTTGCAATCCTCCTGCCTCAGCCTTCTAAATTTTTCTACTTCAGCCTCCCCAGTTGCTGGAATTATATGCCTATGTCACTGCATCAGGCTTTATTTTTTACTTTGAGATTGGGTTTCATTAAACTGCCCAAATTGTCCTACAATTTGGTACTGCTGCTTCAGCCTACCTTATGGGTGGGATTACAGTCTAGAGCCACCACACCTGGTTTGGTGTCTCAGAAATTTTAAGTGATTTTGTGATCAGTCTCAGGAGATAATTTTCTTGGTTCTTAGAGCAACTTGTAAGATAAACTTTGGACAAAGTATTATACTATGCCCTTTGTAATTTAATAACCCAAGACAATATGTTAAAGTTTAGTGGAGATTTAAATTCCTGAACTGATTAGTTAAGACCATACTGCTTACAAATAAGGTGTTAATGTTACTTCTGGAGTTTGTAGGTCTATAACGTGATGAATTGCATGTTTTTATCACTTATTACTTTTCAAATTTCAGAACTAGAAAATAAGTAATAACTAACAAAAAAGCTGTACAATTCAACTTGAAGGCTAGTGCCAGAGCAGGAAGAGTGGAAATTTAGGATGACTCAGGACTGTGTCCCATCCAGAGTATGGAACCAGGGAAGGTTGTGGGGTTGTGATAGTGGTGGTTTCAGGGAAGATAAATCTGGCTACGTGTGCAAATGGGGTGGGGTGGAGAAGAGATAGAGGCAGAGTCCACTTGGTGGCTACTGCAATATCCAGGAGCTGCAATACGAAAGGTAAGAGAAAAAAAAAAAAAAGTGTGTGAGGCCTTCACTGGAGATGATCCAACCTAGCAGGGGTCGAGTGAAAGAAAGGCTTCAAGCAGTCCAGAGAGCCAGAGTCTTTGGCAGAGGCCCCTTGACTTTCCTTCCGTCCTTTGATCCGACATTCTCAGATTAGCCGGGAGGGGCAGGCCTCAAGCTGGTCAAGCCAGCAGAAGCCGCACCAGTCAAGCTCGTCTCGGAGCCCCCTTCCCTCCCCGCCCCCACACTCGGGTCGTCCCTCTGGCTCTGACCCCTCCCTCCTTTCCTCTCAGGTAGCCCATCTCCCCCCCACCCCCATCCTCTATCGCGGCGGGCACCGCCCTCCGCCCCTCCCTACCCTCCTCCCGGGTCCGGCACTGACTCGCCCGGCTGCCACGTCTCACTGATGACATCACCAGGGCCGCTCGGCCTTAGCCAATCCGCTAGGGGGAGTCCGAGCGAAGTCCTAGCCAGCGAGTCAGCGGGGAGGGGAGTAGGGAGGGGAGGAGATTAGTGGGTGAGGGAGTGGGGAATGGGGTGGGCTACAAGCCCTCAAAGTGCGCATGCGCCAGAACCGCAGGGCTTGGCGGGAAGCTGAGTGCTGATTGCGGAGTCGCACCGTCGGTCCTCAGCAAGCATGGGCACGCTCTCGACTCTATTTCCCGGCGTGCCACTCGGTGCGGCCGCCCTCTGGGCTATGTAAAGGCCCTTTGGTCTAAGGCTTCCCTATTTCCTGGTTCGCCGGCGGCCATTTTGGGTGGAAGCGATAGCTGAGTGGCGGCGGCTGCTGATTGTGTTCTAAGGGGACGGAGTGGGGGAAGACGTTTGCTCTCCCGGAACAACCTATCTCATTCCTTTCCTTCAATTACCCGTGGCGCGGAGAGTCAGGGCGGCGGCTGCAGCAGCAAGGGCGGCGGTGGCGGCGGCGGCAGCTGCAGTGACATGTCCAGCATGAATCCCGAATAGTGAGTGCTGGAGAGCACCGTTCGGCTGGGTCTTGGGCCAGCTTGGGGAAGCTTTTAAGCGGGCGAAGAGGACTGGGGCCGGAGTGGGGCACTGGCCGGGGTGAGGAGAGGGTGTTGGGGCGGGAGAGGCTGGCGTCCGGGAGTCGGGCCCCATTGTCTGACGGCGGAGGGGCGGCCGGGGGGAGGGGTCGGGCCGGGCCGGAGGGGTGAGCCTCCCGGGCCTGGCCGGGGTCAGGTTGGAGGGCCTGGGTGCGCGGCCGCTGCGGAGGAACGGTGTACTGCGGGGTCGAGGCGTTTGGGCGTCGGGTGGAGGGCTGTCTGTAGGGGTAGCCTCTCCCGGAGGGCAGTGACTTTGGAAGGAGGACTTGTTTTTAAGGGGCGCGGGCAGGGTGGGGGCGCTTTCCTAGAGGGCACTGGCAGACCCTCCGCACGCACTCTGAGGAGCTGTCAGGATCGTCAGGGTGGAAACCAGCTTTACTTGTAAATCCTGAGCTTGTTGGCTCTCCTTCCACCCTCCCCGCCAGGTTTCAGGTAATATGGATGTTTCTCGGGACTGCGTGGGATTGAGGGGAATGAGTAGATGGTGAGGAGCGATTTGAAATGTTTAGTTCTCTTTTTGAGTTGTTTCTTGGAAGAGTTCGCGAAGAACTCGCCGGTCCATTGCCCTCCTAAACACCTGGGCATTTGTGAATTTTTTTTTTTTTTTCCTATTGTAGAGGACACTTAAGTCATTTTATTTTCTGTAGGTCAGCAACAACAACAAAACAACTGAAGCCAAGGAATGTCTTTCTGATACTACCAAATTAAAAGGAAGAGGTTGCTGTCAAGTTCAAAGTGGGACCTATATAGATCTGTAGGTTTTAGATTACCTATTTGAATGCTTGCAGATAGGGAAAGAGGTTCCATGACGTGTCATGAAAAGTTAATGTATTCTTTTTTCTTGCTTACTCAAGAAGTCACCACAACAGATGTGACATACCTGGCACATTTCATGGGAACTGGTATTCACTTTCCTTTGGAAAGACTTTGTTAGGGGCTCCTCAATGACTCTTAAAATAAATCTTCCAGTTTACATAGGTATAAATTAATGAATAACTAGAGGAGATTTAGTTGGTATTTCTTTTTAGCGTCAGAAGCCTTTAGGGGTTAGGGGAAGTTTTTTAAAAGCACAAATCAGTATTTGTCTTGAAAGTTGAATTGTCCTTTAGTCAATTACTGCTAAAGATTTCCCCCTAAAAGGTCCACCCATTAGTTTAGCTGACTGTCATGTGTCTGTCACATGGTTCTTGCAAAATACATTCTGATTTCAAGTTTTGTAATACAGTGGTTTGATGCTGAAATGTCCCCTTTGGCACTCAACAGAAGTCATAGTATTTTATTGGAATTCTGTATACTTTAAGAAGTTGAGGATAGTGTTTTTACAGTGACATATTTGCTATGTTGGCAGTTTTTTTCTTTCTTTATCAAGGGCTCCAAGGACAGTGGGTTTGGCATGGTAGAGCAGAGAAGAACTTGGGGTTCCTAATTAGTAGTTTTCCTGGTAGTCAGGAGTATGGATTGACCATTTTATGGAGGTTTGTAAACCTCTGTTGTTTCTTGTACTTGTGAAATATATTGTACTTGTGAAATATATTTAGTACTCTAAATAAATCTTGAAGGTTAATTAGTTGAATAAAAATTTGATAAGTTACTCAGTTTCTGAATGTTTCTCTTTTTGTAAAATAGCATAGGACTCATTCCTATTAAGGTAGTGGTGAGATTTGAAAGTATGTAAACACATTTTGTTTTCCGTATTGAACTCAGGGACCACTGAGCCAAGTTCCCAGCCCTATTTTTGTATTTTATTTAGAGACAGGGTCTCACTGAGTTGCTTAGCACCTCAAGATTGCTGAGGCTGGCTTTGAGCTCATGATCCTCCTGAGCCCCTCATGCCACCGCACCCCACAAATACTCTTTAGGTGGTATAAATCATTCTATTAGTGCTAGGATTTAAGAATATGATTCTTAACTTCAAGGAGCTTGTAATGCAGTATGGAAAATAGATTTTATTCTTGTTAAATACCTATAAACCCATGAAGTTCCAGATGCTTGGCATATATCAGAGCAATAAAATTTCAGAAGAGGATAGTGGGTTGTGGTTGGCTGTTGAGTTTTGGAAAACTATAGAAAAGACACCTGTAAGAGAATTATTAGCAATTACATTTGTAGGAGATTAAGGAGAATTTTCCAAGAGGGGGGAAGAAGAGAAACAACTAATAAATGGCAAGGACAATAATTCTTAAATATATGACTGTGCCAAATTATTCTTTTTTTTGAGGTCTCTAGTTTAATAATCTCAATAGAATCAAACCCAGAAATTTTTAATTTTTTGGTTTTTTTTTTTTTTTTTTTTGAGGGTACAGGGGCTTAAACTCAGGAGCACCTTACCACTGAGCTAAATCCCTAGCCCTTTTTATTTTATTTTATTTTTTTGAGACAGTATCTTGCTAGGTTGCACAGGCTTAGCCTGAAACCTCCTTCCTCAGCCTTCTGAGTTGTTGAGAGTATGGCCATGTACTACTGAGCCTGGCTCCAGGAATGGTGGTTATATTTTTTTTCCTAGAATTAAGTATTCTAATATTTGGCTTACTCTGTTGGTATTCTAGATTGCCTAATAAAATAATCCAGGAGTTTGGGAAAACCTTTGCAAAAGTGTTAATGAAAATTGCTTAAGGTGATATGAGGTGATGGATATTTTATAAGGTAACATCACTAGGAGAACAAGCCTTTTAACAATCTGTCTTCACCTGTTTTTTGTCTTTGAAATTTGTTTACCAATTTGGAAAACAAGAGAAAAGTTAATTTTAAGAGTTTTATTTATTTTTGTACTGGGGATTGAACTCAGGGGTCCTTAACCACTAAACCACATCCCCATATCTTTATTTTTTTGAGAGTCTCTCATTAAATTGCTGAGGCTGGACACCAACTGATGATCCTCATCCTTTAGCCTCCTGAGTAGCTGGAATTATAGGCATGCACCACTGTGCCTGGCTGTTATTAGGTTTTATCACCCAGATAGAAGTCTGTTTTCTTTACTATCTTATCTGAACTTTAAAATCTTTTCTTAAATTAAACTCTTGGTTGGAGCAGGGGCTTTTCCTGATTTCAGAATTTTGATTTAGTAACTAATGAATGGAGTAGTAGCTAATGCTTACAATTGTATCCCAAGTGTTCCTTTACTTGCTTTAGTTTATCAGCTAATAGTTTGTCTCATTCTTTTTAGAAACTTAAAGGTGTACCGTATGGGTGCTGCTACGAATTTTGTGAGAAAATAGGATGTTGACAAAAGAAAAAATTTTCTTTAAGGAGGAGTAGGATTGTAGATTTATATTGGTTGACATGAGATTACTTCTTGCTAGTTTTATTACTGAATGCTCTTACTTTTATTATCCTTAAGTTGTAAGCTTTTGGTTTAGGGGTGAGGAGGAAAAAAATGTTGAGCGCTGATGATAGAATTTTATGCTGGTACATGTCTATGATCCTAGCTGCTCAGGAGGCTGAGGCAGGAAGATTGCAAATTCAAGATCAGTCTGACCAGTTTAGGGAGACTTTGTCTCAAAATAAAAAAGGACTGGGATGTTGCTCGGTGGTGAAACATCCCTGAGTTCCGTCACCATTACTTAGCCCCAAAATAATGGTTGTATTTAATCTGTCCCTTTGACTGCTTTCTGTTTTATTAGATTGATTTGGGGATAAATTACAATCCAGGGTTGTCTTTAAGGTAGAAATTAAAGGTGATGACTGGCTTGTTAGCAATTTCAACTGCAAATAAGAAAAGCAACTGGAAGTGTGATCCTAACAGTGGAAAAGTAGGCAGAAAGGGTCAAAACTTTCCTTTTTCTTGAGGAAAAAAAATTTTGATTTTTCGAACCAGATGATGAAGCAGTCAGTGATTATTTCAGTACACTAGTTAAGAAGTACTTCAAATTATTTTCATACCAGAAACATTTTTCATATTGCTTCTAGTGAATTTTTTTAGTGTCAAGAAAATAATTTTGTCTTAATATATTAGATACGTCTTAATAAATGTATTGAAAATAAAACGCGTGGACCCATCTTGGATGTATCAGTGAACTATAGTAGAAAAGTAGTAGTCTACTTCTATTGTAGTTTATTTTTAATTTTGGTTCTGGGATTGAACCCAGGTGTACTTAACCACTGAATCCCATCCTTACGCCTTTTTTTTTTTTTTTTAAATTTTATTTGTTTGTGATAGGATCTTGCTAAGTTGTTTAGAGCCTCACTAATTGCTGAGGCTGACTTTGAACTCAAGATCCTCCTGGCAGCCTCTTGAGCTGCTGGGATTACAGATGTGCGCTCTTGGGCCTGATTTATTTATTTATTTATTTTTTATTTTTTAAAGAGAGAGTGAGAGACAGAGAGAGAGAGAGATAGTGAGAGAAATTTTTTTTTTTAATATTTATTTTTTTTAGTTTTCGGCGGGCACAACATCCCCGTTTGTATGTGGTGCTGAGGATCAAACCCCGGGCCGCACGCATGCCAGGCGAGCGCGCTACCGCTTGAGCCACATCCCCAGCCCCTGATTTATTTATTTTTTAAATGGTAGTTTTTAAATACAGATTTTAAAGGGATTACTTTGTCTTTAGCTTTTCTTTTCCTCTTTAAAAATATGTCTCTGTCTCAATTTTGTCAGTTTTTCATTTGCTTTTCTGCAATGGTGGATTCAAGGAACATTTGACCTTTTTTTTTTTTAACCAAACCTATTTCAAATAAGTCTTGCTTTTATTTTTTGCAATACAGGGGGATTGAACCAGATCCTTGGGCTTGGTAGGCGAGTACTCTACCATTGAGCTACATTCCCAGCCCTCACATTATTTCCTTTAAGTATTTGAAAGTAAAAAGGAGGTCAGTTTTGTTATCTGACAGTATGATTTCATTAGTAATATTCCTGGCTTTTATACAGTTTTTTTTTGTTAGTGATTTTTCATTTATTTATTTGT